GTGAAATATGAGATAATCTGGGTTTTAGGGATTATATATATGGAGGACTAAGGTGCAAAAATCAAAATTTTAAATTATTTCTACAGTCCCTGAAAGTTTGAAGTATAATTCATTTTGGTCACCTGTTGTAAATTTACCCTTGAATTTTGAATTGATTCATTTTAATCCCTGTTCATATTTTTTATATTTATGCAATTAAGCCCTCTAACTTCTTATTTTTTTCATGCAGCACGTAATTAATGTCAATTTAGCATTTGATGTTTAGTTCCTTTCAATTTAATCCTTTAATTCTAATTTTCTTTTATTTTTTTTCATTCACTTTTTTATTTTATTTCATTTTACATTATTATTTCTCACTAATTCGATTTATCTTCTCAATTTTATCTTATTTTAACTCTAGTATTAATTCTTTTTAATTTAATTTCATTTTATTATCTCTTATAAAAAAATTAAATTTTCATTTTATTTATTTTAACATCCTTTTTGTTTGTTTTATTTTATTATTTAACATTAATTTAGCTTTTTATGGACAATTTCAATCGGTCAAAGGTAAGTAATTCGGATCGAACCTTTAAATTTCAATTTAACTTTTAATTTTCGAAATTAAGATAACCGAAAAATTAAATTGGTACCAAAATGGAAGTGCAAGGGTGCTAATCATTCATTGACTGTAACCAACTCCCGAACCCGACATATTTATGGTAAAACGTAGATAAGGTACGATGATAAAGTGTGGTGTACGATCAATCAAATTTTAAAATAATAAATAATCGGTGACGGCTCTAGCATAATTTATTTAAGTCGAAGCCCAGTTCCGAGCTCACCTGAAGGAAGGTTACGACAATTTTAATTCAATTTAATAAATTTAATTTCTAATTGGATTGTGAAAGAGATCGAACCAATGAATACATAATCATTGAGCGCCAATGACATTTGGACCACCTATGCATGCTTGAGCCTTTGAGCTAAGCCATCCACATGGTATCGTTTTACAACATTTCATTTATATTTATTTGAAATTTACTCCCAAAATTTCTTTATGAAACATATACTAATTACCATTTTTTTAAAACAGTAGAAGAACAGAACTCAACTACTAAATTACAAAACTTTCAAGGCTATTTTATTCCTTTATGCAAGACTTTCAAAAGCTTTTATGGTTTTCGCGATGGAACTTCCTCTCCTTTTTACAGCCCCGTGAAGTACCATTGAAGATTTGGAGCTTGATCCACCGACAAGAAGTCACAACCTTCTTCTGCTGTAAGCATATATTATTCTTCCATTTTTCACTAACCGTGGTTGATTACGCGTGTTATCCTCACTCATTCTCGACTCAAATGGTTGAAACCGGTGACGATTTGATGAATCCGAAGATGAAAAAGAATCATTCACTTTGCTTTATTCTTTAAAAATTCCATTAAAATCACAATCACCATTGTTACAGCAACCTTGCTCTTTGTTCTGCTCTGAAAAACTGGACAATCTTCTTTCAAATTAGATTTCAGGTCTCTCAGCTGCACATTTCAGCATCCAAAATTCATATCAACCTTCAAATTACATCAACCAAAGATGGGGTTTTAAAATATAAACACTTACCTTTGCAACTAAACCAGGTCGTGACCCATCTTTGAAGTGCTTCTCCATCTCGGACTTGAAGCAGAAAGTGATAGTTGGGTTAAGTAAGAACTGCGACAGAGAAGGGCAATGAACGTAAATTATAAACAATACCATATGGATAGCTTAGCTCAATGTCTTAGTCGTGCATAGGTTAGGTTTAAGGTCATTGGTTTGATCCCTTTCAATTGTAAATTATTTATTCGCAATTTTTTTGTATTAAAAGGTGGTGACACGTGTCACCACTTAATTGGATGAAAAATTAAATAATTAAAATGAATAAAATATCTTCTAATCAAGTAGTGACACTTGTCACCATCTAATTTGATATTAAATTTATTAAATTGAATTAAAATTATGACCAAATTAATAAAATTTATAAATATTGAGGATCGAATATGTAATTATACCGATTTTATTATTTGCTTCTCATTCTCGTTAAATGTTAACGAAAAGTGATCTGATTGAATGCATTTAAATAGTTGAATGACCTTATTGATAAAATTCAAAAATGATGATCAAAATAAAAAAGAGATATAATTAAGTGGTCAATGGTATAATTTACCCTTAAACTTTTAGTTATTTTCATTGTGATAATTGAAATTTTGAAATTTATATTACAATCATTGAATTTTTAAATTATTTTCATTACAACTACTATCATTGGCCATTGTTAGAAAATATTGACTTGAAGTTTTCACCTCTAAAAAAAATATATAATTTTCCATATTAGTACCCATTGCAAAAGTTGATTTTTTGAATGAACAAAGCGATCATATCATTCTTAATAGTGAGAAATCTCCATTTGGCCATAAGATTAATATAGTTTGATTTCAAGTGATCTCATGGTTAATAGTGACATATCAAAAAGTTTCTATTAGTTTGTCGTCTCAATTTGTCGTCATTTCTATCGTTTTATTTATGTTTTGGTCACCCACCATTTAAAAATAAGAGAATTATTGACGTGTTAATTTTTCTCATTTTTTTAGTGATGACATGACATTATCTTATGGCCACACATTAACATTATTGTGAACTTTTAATCGTGTGTGACTAAAACGAAAAGTTGGGTATGATTTTGAAAAGAATAATAATTAAGTGAACAAAATGGAACCAAGTTATAGTCGATTGATTAAACACATAGTTTACTCTAATGTTTTAATGAAACATATAAATCGATAAAGCAACCAATTCCAAACATTTTAAAATATTCATTTTCCCTCCCTTTTTTTAGGGCAGGAATTCCCCCTCTTTCTCTGCAAAAACACACCCGCCAACTCGTTCGAACTACTCTTTCGGACCTCCATTTCCGACCCTCTGCCCCGTTTCCCCCCCCCCTTCCGCTTTCTAAGAAATTATTTGTACTTGTAAAATAAAAAACGAAATGGTGGAAATAGAAGGGGAAGACGATGATAGTTACGAAGTTAAAGGGGTGTGTGAGTTTAAAGAATTTCTGTGATGATTATTATGCTTTAATTTAAATGTTCTTCTTTATAGGGGAAGCAGTGAAAATAGAAGGGAAAGGAAGTGAGCAAAAGACGAACACTGATCGGTCTAAGCATTCTGAGACTTAGCAGCGTAGAAGGAGTAGGATTAATGAAAGGTATAAACTTTAAAATTTCCATTAAAATAACTAACGATTCTTGTTTATTTCCTTTTACATTGTGGTTTAATTTTGTATACAATTATAAGATTTTCTAGAATTGACAATGTTCAGCTGTATTGGTCATGAATGCGAGTAATTTTTCGAAGTGTTTCAATTAGAGGGTTTTGGTTGTAATAATACAGTTAATGTCACGACATATAAAACAATTGTGTTGAGTGGTATTGGCTCATATCATATGGTTTGCTGATATGCCATTGGCTTTGTGTTATATTATTTTAACATAATTGAAGCCTTCTAGTGATTCTTTTGTCAACTAAAGTTGCATAATACGCCATTTTCTTAGGGGTAGCTTGGTGTATCTGAAAATAGATTCTGAAAACTTCTTTCAATTCAATTATGTCATATTCGTGGCACCATTCAGTTTCAATTCTTTGAATATATTTGAAGCACTCTTTTATTTTTTATTTTTTAATGTTGTCAGGTTCCAGACCTTGAGAGATATTATACCTCAAAATGATCAAAAGAGAGACAAGGCATCTTTTCTGTTAGAGGTCACCACTCAATGATGCTTTTTCTATAATATACTATAAGCATACATTAGATATGTATGTACATGCATAAATGTAATCATTTCTAGTTCCTTGTTGGATTTTGAATACAACCTACTTAATGTGTAGGTCGTAGAGTACATTCAGTTTTTACAGGAAAAGTTGCAAATGTACGAGGAATCGTACCAAGGGTGGAGCCAGGAGCCAACAAAACTGATTCCATGGGTAATCTTATTTGTTCTTCATATTTGAGTATTTGTACGTCCATGCCAATGTTGTTATTTTCTACGAAAGTTTTCTGCTTTTATCTAGATATGTTACTGGTTGAGAGTCTTACCTATTGAAGATTTAAAATACTAAAGCATGAGTGTTGAAGTTTTAGTGCATATTTTGAATTTGTTTTATCGATAACTGTTGCCATGCATTGCTAAATAGTAGTTTTCAGTGGAAAATAGATGAATGCACCCTATGCTTTGGGCAACAGAAAATATATGGCAATAGGTAGATATTATTTCTCTTTGCTTTGAACTTCTATGTTTATGACTTACAACTGGAGCCTTCTTGAAATAATAATTTTGTTCACATTATTTTCCATAATTCAAGAGGAAGCAAATTGATTTTATTTTAATTTTTTAATAGAGAAATCATCATGGGGTTGCAGAGAATTTTATCGACCATTCTCAAACTATGAAGAATGGATCTAGTTGTGAGAATGATGGTATCATGCCGTCGATGGTTGCAAATATGCAGAATTACTCAATTGAATCTGACTTGGGTGATGCTTCAGTTTTTAAAGCACTGGATCATCCCCCTGCATCTGCTACTTCTATAGTTAACACACAGACACGATCTAACACAACTGCTACTCATGGAAGAGGTAGCCTTGCTTTTCATGAGTCTGTTTCTGATTCTGAGAACATGGTACATCAACCCCAGTTTCAGTCAGGGCAAAGTAGAGACTGTCTGACAGAGTGTTGTTCTGAACAATTCAGCGCTTGAACAGGATGACTTGACTATCAGAGATGAACCAGAAGGCTTGTCAAATGCTTACTCTCAAGGGTGAGCAACTGGTATGTATTTCTTACAGTTTTGCCTGACATGATGACTTAACATTTTCATGATTTATGTCTCAGATTTTGGTTAATTGTGGTATCTATTTAATGATATCATTTTATGATATGCCCTTACACGATAGGTTATATACATGCTATTAAAGATTAGTTTTTGTTTTCAACGGGATATTGACTTATTTGACCCAGGCTCTACAGTCTTCAGGAGATGATATGTCACAGGCAAGCATCCGTGTGAAAATTGATGCTGTTAAACGAGTAGCTAGTGGAGTGACTTCTATGCCATCTAATTCTAAGGTTTAGTTATAATCATTTTCTGTTATTAAGAAACACTTGTCCGGATTAAGTATTACCTAAGTTGTTTTTCTGTTTCACTCTTCAATTATTCCCCTCCCTGCTTGGTGAAGGCTTGGACATGAGTCAAAACTATTTGCTTCATTTGTATAACTTGCCTTTTTCACCTTTCATCTAGGAGAAAGAAATCCAATATGTAAGCAATCAAGTGATGGCACAAACTGGAGTTCGCAGCTGCTCAGAGGAGTTTGATCAGGCTTATAAGAGGCACAGAACTGGAAAATGCTAATATATGATTCTTGGTCTATTTCTTTGTCCCATTTTCTTCATCCAATCTCTTTTTCAATCGATTCAGGTGCTCATTTTTTGCTATGCCATGTACCTCATATTATTAGGTCTTGAAGACCAAATGTAAATGTTTATGCAGCTTGGTTTGCCAATGCCACATGGGTGATAATTGTTATATATTCGTTTACTTAAAACTTGTTGGGGACATAGGCTTGCATGCATATAAAAGAAGCTGCTTTGTCACAGTTGCTATTATTTCTCATATGATCTTTGTTTGTCACTAGTTTTTCGGGGTAGTTTATGATTTGTTCTGTTAAGTCAAATCGAGTTTGTTTTGTGTTCATGAAAGTGGGTAATATTGTTATGTGTTGGGTATTATTAGTCTATCTTCCATTTTATTTTTATTTTTTAAAACAAGATTAGTGAAGTTATAGATAAGTCTTTTATCTCATAAGATTTTATTTTTTTTTGAAAATTTTATCTGATAAGATTATTTTTTGAGTATAGTTCTGTGAACGAACCGAACGAACACAAATGAGGGCATGTTTATATTCGTTAGTTTAACTTTAACCAAACAAATAGACGAACCTGAAGAACTAAACAAACGAAATTTTTTGTTTGTGTTCATTCATTAAGAAATTTAGTTTGTTCATGTTCATTAAAATGATAAATGGACACAAATGAATGGACATAAAATTAATTGGGTTTATATTTTGGAAGAGTTTTTTCTTTCCAAATAATTTTAAGATTTATAATTTTTTAATTAATTTAAGTATTTTTTTATTTGAGTTTAAAATATTAATGGGTCTAAGGTCAAAATTTATTAGGTCTTAATATTTCAAATCCGGATTGAATATAAATGAACGAATGGATTATTGAATGTTCACGAACGTAAATAAATGAATGAGTCTTTTGTTCGTGATCATTCATTTAATTAAAGGTACATAAAATTTTGATTATGTTTTTCTGTTTAATAAATAAACAAATTTTCTACCTAACAGTTTGTTGAGAGAGAGAGGATTTAATTATATTATGTAAAACTAAAAGAGTTTTATACATCGTAAGTGGATTAACTCATATATATATATATATTGTGTGTGAGTATTACTTGAAATGTTTTTTTTTTGTTCATCAATATTGTGTATGGAATAAAATCTACCATATTTACGGTTATGAGTTGACTACCAACACAATTAGTGGAATTAAATTAAGGTACGTTTAGATACTACAATATATTGCATAAAAATGTCTAAAAAATTGTATGAAAATGTAATTATTTAATAATTATATTCATGTAATTATTAAGAATTTTAATTACCTAGGCATGTTTCACAAGCATAATATAATTACATCCTAATTTTCCATTATAATCACTATAAAAATTTCCTCGAATAAATATTTAAGTATTTGACAATGAAATTATTAATAAAAGGCTTAATACAAAAATAAGTGTCCATGTAATGCTCCAAATCTCGGCTTAGAAGTTTCGGGTTAACCCACATAGTTTGTATGAGCCCATGTAGCTTGTAAAAGTGCTAGACCCATTTGGAGTATGGTTTGGGCTAGGGGCCGAATTGATATTAAAAGGGGCATTTTTAATCTTGAGAGAAAATGGAAAGGACTAAAAGGGTAATTAGATCAACGTTTGAAACAAAAGCTGAAATCTCTTGATTGGGAGATGATCTCACGCCTGATTCTTCTGTTTTTATCATTCTCTCTTTTTGTTTTCTCCTTTTCTTCTTCATCATTTCCTTCCTCTCCAAAAGCTAAAAAAGGTTGAAACTAATGGTTTACAATCATAGTTAATAAATTCCAAAGTAAAAAATAGAATCTACATCTTTCAAGCTTTCATTCAAGCTATTAAGATTAAGGTTTGGCCATACAAACTAAATGTGGGATTTAGTGGTGGTTTAAGAAACCAAACATTTTCAACTCGTTTTTTTAGTAGATTGAAGGGTTAGGAAGATTCCTTAACTTCAATCCAAGCTCCTAGATGAGTTAGTAACTCATTTACCTTGTCTTTGATTAGTGAAAAAAGTGAAAGAAAGCTCCAAGGTTAAAGAAAATGAGACATTGACCTTTGGTTGATTTATGGGAGTTTCCAACAGCTAGGAAACTAAGATAACACATTCACAACTCTTTCATACCATTTGTGAATCATTAGAATTCATCAAGCTAGAGAGTCTTAAGTTTGTGAAGAATAAATGAGCATTCATGGTAGATTCAAGTAATTGGTGTTTTCAGAATGTCTAAAGACCTATTATGATCTCTTATTTCATACATAAGACTTTAAGAACACTTGAGAACCTCAGTAGGGCACTTAGAGTAGTTTAAAGAGTCATTTTCATGCCCAAATAGGGCATTTCTGGTTCGAGTATCAGTATTAGAAGAACAATACCGATATTGTTCGTTAGCTAGTTTATATAAACAAAGGGATTTAGGAAGGAGAGTATCGATATTTCTCTAAAAGGTATCGATACTGGTAGTTAGTTTTCGATACTCATAGGGAGGTATCAATACCGAGTGCACTTAGCTGATTCTAGTAGGCCATTTTGGTACTGATACTCATAAGAGTATACGAAGGGTAGAGTATTGATACTCCCCATATGAGTTTCGATACCGATTTATTTTTCAAAACATCGAAGCAAAATCTAGTATCGATATCACAGAAAGTACTGATACCTTAGCTTAAAAGTACCTATACTGGTCCAAAGTATCAATACTACAACCCTTCTCAGCTTGATATAACCTTATAGTATCAATACCCAAGGGTGAATATCGATACCATCATACATTTTGAGGCAAGAAGCCCAAGGGATTTAGAAGTAATGTTAAGGGACCCAAGAACACTAAAACACCATCGAATAAAACTACAATTGAGAATATGAAATTACAACTAGAAACAATATCAATTAGGATGACATAAAACTAACATTGGTTGATATTCGGGAACGATCAGGACACCCGAATTACTCTAGCAGATGACGATAGTTTGAGGTATAGAATGTTCGGATATCCTTAAAAAAGTGCACGGGCACTTTGAGACTAACTAGTGCGCGAGGCCCGAACACTCGCGAGAGGTGGGTTACTCGGGTGTTGTGTCTGATGTAGAGATTTTGGACGACACCCTAGGTAGACTAGAGGGGTGTGTGTCACTAGATGTGTAATCTTTCGACCATACCATGATGTCTACCCTCGAGTAACATGAAGTAGTATACTCACTTTCCTTATTGCACTCGATAACATGAGCATTTAATGAATACTTTTAGTATGTTTTAGTTGTTGGTATGGTGTGAGCTCAGCGTTCGTAATTCGTTTCCATGCGCAAGTCTTTAGGAGAAGAATTCAAGGAGCCTATCGCACAGAAAACGTTCCAGACAGTCCGAACAGCAAAGTATATCTTGAGTCTTATTCTTAGAGGGCATGTATTATTCATGGACCTTTATGTACTTGAGTCGTAACTTTATTTTAAATACTCGATTGTATTATTTTGATATACTTATTTTAGGAGCTTCCCGATGTAAACACTATTTATTTATGGTTGATTTACTTTATTTCAAATGGTTTTAAATTTATGATTTGCAAAGGTATTTAAAGAAGATTTTTGGGATAACCACTCTGGTGGTACTGTGTGACATTCTTATCAGTCGACTTTGTGTTGTATTGAATTAGGGTGTAGCCCAAACTGTGCCTCGAAAAATGTTTTAGTGCCTAAAGAATTTTTCGTTAAAAATAAGTGTCTAAAGTTTCCAATATTACATTTTTTATTTGCTTGGATCGTAACGGAAGTTAAATTTGACATTTATCTGACTTGTGTCACGCATATAAAATTTCAAATATTTTTTTCTAAATTTTTTAGTTTTTAAAATTAAATAAATATATATTTTTTAAAAATATTTTTAAAAAAATGGTCCCCATCCCCCTCACCATTCTTTTTCTCCCACCACCACCACTTTTCTTCTTATCCTATCACTCTTTAATGGCTGCTCACGCTACATCCATCTCTTGGTTTTCCATTCTCAATAGCCCTTGTCTTCCATTCTCATATATTTGTTTTCATTGAGATGAACCTTAGCTTCGACTACTGTCACTAGTTCCATCTTTTTTTTGTCACAAACTTAAGAAGAAAATCAAAATTAGATTTAGAAAAGAAGAAAAGATGGAAGGAATAGACTTTCATTCAAATTGACATCAAGAGAACTTCATTTTTTTACATTTTGTTGCTTATATCCAGCAATACCTAACGACCACTAATTATTTTCTTACAGGTGTTATTGCTTGTCCTTTAGTATAACAACTCATGCCTTCGTTGTATATTCACCAACTATCTACATATTGGGCTCCTTTTCTAGGCCGACTTCTCTTCCAAGTTCCTCCTTTGCTGATGGTATGATCTGGGCTTCTCTTTTTGGATGACCCATAGATTTCCTCTCTTCATCTGGATTCACATTTCCTATCCGCTCCATTTCATTTCTTTCCCAATTCATCTTCTATTTAATCCCTAAATGTGCAACCTTAATTTTCAAATTTCCCCAATTTCACCCTCATCTTCACCATCATTAAAAACTTTTTCTAATCCTAGAAAGGGGAAAAGAGTGCCCAAAGAGATATATTACTCAGGATCAACATCGTTTAAAACAACAGTAACAATAAGCTCGAGACAAACCGAGTCAAAGAACAAGGCACTGTCAGATTGAAGGGCCAAGAAACTAACTTATGGGTGACCTTGTTACAAGTAGAGATACATAACCAATAGAATAAAATGCATTGCTAGCAAATATATCGCCTGCAAATGAAAACCAAGAGTGGAAATATCCTCTGTGTCACAACGTAGTTTGTCGACAACCACCGTTGAATCAAACTCAAAGACCACCTTTTTCCATTGATTCTCATGAGCAAATGTTAGACCAACAACAAAGGCAGGTATTTCAACAAGACCGGCTTCCACATAGGAAGGAGAAGATAGAGCCATCCCACCCAACGGTAGACCCATTGAGTCTCGAGCTATTAAACCCACAACTACTTTAGTAAGATAAATTATATGTCGAGTACCTAAACTATCAATTTTGATTTGTTTTTGTACCTAAACTTTCATTTTTTTCAAAAACATAAATTAAGTTTAGTTTTGTTTTATTTTAGTACATCCGTTCAAAAATTTATCGTTAAGTTTTGATTTTTTTTAAAGTTTAGGTACTAATACGGACCAAAATTGATAGTTTAGGTACTAAACACATTAAATTTTTAATGGTGAGTACT